TGCAGTAGATTTGGGTAGTCTGAGGGAGTGAAGTGTCCCAGAGGATGTTTGACAGGGGGTCCTGCGAGGGGTGGGGGTGTCCAGGGTTAATTGGGGCCTGATTGGATTTGGGGGACCCAGGGGGTGCCAGGGGAGCGTGGAGGGTCCTGGGAAGTGTTGGGGATCCTGGGGTGGATTTGAGGGAGTCCCAGAGGGGCTGTTGGTGGGTACCCCTGTGCTGTCTGGGGAACACTGGGAGTCCTGAGTTGGATTTGGAGGAGTTCCAGGGGGTGTTTGGGAGGGTCCTGGGGGCATTTGGGGAATCCCAGGGTGAATTTGGGGGATGTTCGGAAGGAATTTGTGGGATCCCAGAGGAGCTTGGGAGTCCTTAGGGGATACTGGGGGGTCCTGGGGAAGCAAGTGTCACAATCCACTAGTCAGGAGCACAATGTTCATTGTAAATTCTTGTCACTCCAAACAAGGACCCCAGACACGTGTCAGGGAACTTCTGTGTACAGTCACTTTCACTCTGGCAACGAACCACTGTTTAGATGTTGGCCAACAAGCGCTTAAATTTTACAACACATTTCAACTAGTGGGAGCTAACAAGCCCTGAATTTTTACAATGCACTTCAATCTCTCAATAGGCAACACCACTTCTCAAAGTTGCTGGCCACCAAGCCACTACAGACTTCCACAAACTCCCCACTCCCACAGCAAATTTCTGTATGGAGCATGGGGTAGAATACGATAGTAGCTCTTTCCCCAGGCAAAGCAAAGGGGGAGACAAATAAAGGCAGAAGAGAGGGAGAGAACAAAGCTTAGCAGTCCTTGGCTCCCACGTTGATCCCGCAGCATGGATGGTCCAGAGCTGGGGTGCTGAGACAAAGGAAAAAAGGAAAAAGAGAAGAGAGGGGACCGATCCACTTCCTTTCATACTTAACCTGGCACAGCCTCTTATGTAAACCAAATTTTTTGTGCTGTTTTGTTTGTGCATGAACAGCCAGCCCTCTGAGCCTTCCAAGACATGAGTCGGGGGACTGAGTACGACTCTCAAGGTGGAGCAGGAAGCTGGTTCAACAGAGGCGGGGAAGCTGCCCCACCTCTGCAGGACCCTCTCTTCCAATCACAAGTTTCCTGTCGCAACAGTCAGAATGTTTGAGACAGGCCATGCATATGCCTGGTCCTCCTCTCCATGGCTCAAACATTCCTTACTGTTGGTTGGGCATAGGACTCATCTTCAGCTGCAGTGATCTTTATGTAGCAGACAGAGGGAGAGAACTGGGAGGAAGCACAAGACAGTAAGCAGCCAATCATACAACAAATAAGGGCCATGCCCATCATTTAAAAACAGAAATCCAACCAATGTTTTGCTCCCAATTTGTGATAACCCCTTTCCCCACCCTATGAGCTCCAAAAATTTCAAAGTAGAAGAAATCAGCAGTCCAAGGTACAGTTGATTGAATCAGTCCTTTGGCTGCATTGATAAGAACAGTGCAATTGTCTGGCCTTCATCTTTGCTTGGGCCTCTGTGAAATTGCAGTGCTGTGGATGGTGAGGCAGCACTCCCTGTTGGTGAGGCTGAGCATCACATGCACCCTGAATAATCTCAGAAACTGTTAAATTGAACACTGATACAACACAGGGGAGGAATTCCAATACTGCATTTAAATCCAGCACAGTATTCCAGTGTCAGATAGGAATAAAATTTTCCACCTGAACACCTCCAAGCCAGCCCTAAATGGACTGTATATTTTGCCATTTTACAGTTACAGGTGTTAGTAAGATTCAGGATATTTATTTGTAGTTCTGTATACAGGCCAATTTCTTTTATGGGGTACCACACTGAGAAATGTATGGGGTGTTGATGGCATTACAATTACAAGTACACGTATTTCTAGGCAAAGTTCTAATACTAGATATAAACCATGTTTCAGATGGGGTGTTCCCAGGTCAAGTGTTACAAGTAATAAAGATCAGAGCAAACAAATTTATAGGCAACAGAATCTTAGTCCTTCCTGTGCAAACCAGGAGATGGCAAGGCAAAGCCCTTGGATGTGAGACCCCCATATTCTTACAAGTTGTTGCATTAGCTTCCAAGCTAAGTTTGGCATCTTATTATAGTAGTTTACATTTAACAGGAAGAAGGCACAAAGGAGACATTGCTGAAACATCCTGGTCAATAGCAATAGGTACAAATTATAAAACCACCAGGAAAACAACACATGGTCGAAATTCTTGACATTTACATCAATCTATAGTACTAGGTTAACTGCTCAATTGTAGTTCTTGTAGGAGAGGAGAAAGGGAAAATGCCCAGACCTAAACTGGTGGTTAGAAAAGAGGGCACTATCCATTTGATGTAGATACAATAGTCTTTATCATGGGCATAGACATCTACCCACGAATAACTGCCCAATTGCATCTTAAGTCACTGTTCCAGTAGTGGATGAATCCACTAAAACTGGCTGTCCTGGGTGGTGCTTAAGCCTACCTGGATCTTCACTTTCCCTTTTGTGAAAGATTCAATTAATGCTTTCTCCCCTGGCCCTCTCCCATACCATACCTGCACTGCAGTGGTTACTGGATTGGAATCTACTGGAACTGGATGGAACTGGGCTTGGGTAAGTAACTGAACAATCATTTTAAAAACTCTGCATGCTTTCGCCTGTGGCTCAACTGACATATTCTGCTTGGGTTAGTCCAGATACAGTCTCCACATTTGAGGTGGGAATACTTACAGGATCTCCCCTCTCCTCATTTAACTGATTCTGCAATAACTTTGATATCTCAGTCATGCTTTATGTCACTGTTTTGGTAGCAATTTGCTGACCCTGGCCATTATTTCTGGTTTCAGTTTTAATTATGAGGAGTCCAGATTCTACATCCTGCAATTCCTCTCTCTCATACACATGCCAAAGCTCCCCCTGACGCCTCCTAGTATGATTGCATTTGGTAGCAAGCAGCCCTTCTGCCTGCAACCTGTTTTCCTGATTTACGTTCAGCAACAAGCATCACCTTCTTCTGAAGCCTGCTCCTCCTCTCCAGGGGATCTAAACCCCTTGACCAATAGGCAGCCCTTTGGGTGAGGCACCAAGATTCACAGGAAACATTTACACTTAGGAAAATCCCTGGTTTCCAGTATCCCTGGGCCTCCTCTCTTCAGCTTCTTTATGCTCCACAGCAGCTGCTGCCTGCACTTCTTCCGTGTCTCTCTTCTCCACAGTTGGCTCCTTTTCTGTTGCTTCAGCTGCCTGCACTCCTGGCTCTCCCTTCTCTTCCACAACTGCTTCTCCAGCCTCCCTTGCCTCCTTGTCCAACACTCCTCTCTCTCTTTCTCCTCATCCTGCTCACCCGCTAGTACTTTCAGTTCCCCCTCTGGGTTAGTCACTCTCTTTGTTTCTAAGGGTCTTGCAGGCTGATCAAGCCTCACCAATTCTTTATCTGAGCAGCTAAGTCCTTGTACTCCCCCCACCGGCTTCTCACTCCTGCCAACGTGTGCCTCTCTCCAGTGCCTCTCTCAGTGTATCCTGCTCTTGGCAGCCTTACAAAGTTCAATGTGCATTTGTCTGATTTGGTCCCTTTTCATATGCCACAGAGATTCCAGTTTCTCTCTCTCATTTTGCTCTCTGTCTGAACATTTTTGTATAAATGTGTCTCTCTTGGCATGCTCTCCAGCCTCCCCTGGATGGCTTCAGGTCAGAACACTGAGGGGAGGGCAACTGTTTCTCTCTTTGCCCCTTCTCTGCAGCCTCTCAAGCAGCAGCACTTTGCTTCCAAGCTTTGCCAGACCCACTTAGAGAGCTTTTCCCTTCCCGCCAGGGATTGAAAGGACAAAGAAGCTGGGAAGAAACAGTCCCCTCCCCAACCCTTGTGCTGAGTTAGGCCTTCCTAGCATGTCCAGAGAACATGGCCAGGGTGTTTCCTGAGGCTCCCAAAAAGAGGACACTGCTGGAAAAGGAGTCCCTTGGCCCTGGAGATGGACCAACACACAGATGTGCCACCACAGTGGCACCTTGGCCATGATACGCACTAGAACTGAGAGATCTTTGAAGAGCACCTTCTCTAACTGCACTCCTAGGAGGAAACAGCCCCCAGAATGGCACTGATTCCAATTATGTCCCTGTTTTTCCACCTCAGGTGCTGCTCCCCCCAGCCCTGATCACTCCATCCATGGCCCCAACACCCTACTTTTCAGTTCAGGGCAGGTCCACCAAAAGGAAGGGCTCAAACCTGGATCCTACTGAAATGGTCTTCTGGGGTTCAGCACTGAGCAGAGCACCTCAGGCCTTGTTCTTAGTCCCTGTGCTGCTTCAGGTCTTGGTGGCTGCCAGATGAAGACCTTGAAATTGGAGTCTTCAGGCACCCTGGCCTGAGCACTCCTTGATGGTGATGTGCTTCTGAGAGGGACATTCTTTTCTCCTTCTCTTACAAGAGGAACTTTATTTTGTCCTTCTCTTCCTCCTCTGCCCCTCTGAGGTGTTGCTGCCTACATGTGGCTCAGCTTTGTCACTTGGCCCTTAGGCACATGTTAGCCCTTGGCTTGGTGAGTCACAGGCTGCTTTTTCCAGTGGTGGCCCCAGGATAGCTGGTGGGTCCCTATAAAAAAACAACAAGAGGATTCAGCCTGAGGGCAGGAGGGGCCTGGGGCCGCATTCTGCCCACTGGAGCCACGTGCTGCTCGGCCCATGGCTGCACTCAGCTCAGGAGAGGAAGCCCCTTGAGCTGGGACCCTCAGCTGGCACGCAGCTGTCAGGCCACCACACTGGGGCTCTTCTGAAGGGCTGGAGAGGAACCAGTCCTGTTACATGGGGGGCTCCCAGTAGCCCCAGGCTCTCTGGGTGCTGCCCTCACTGCTCCTGGGCCGTGGTAGGACAGCATGTTTGGTGCTGGGAATGGCTCTGGCTGTAGCAGGAAAAGGCCCCATACAGACACCAGCTCTGAGCCGTATGGCTCATCTGACCCAAGAGCTGTCCCTCATCTCTGTCACCTCCTCATCCCAGGGCTGCTTGCCTGCCTTAGTAGTGGAGCTTGAATAAGCAGGTACAGGCAGTCCAAGAAGTCTCCCTGGAACCAGGAGTAAGACATTTCAGAACAGCGAGACTGTGATGCTGTTGGCCACAGAGTGACACACAGCGATGCTGAGACCTCTTCCCAACATATCCAAGAGGGACTTCCAGCTCCCCTTGCACCACTGTCTCCAGAGGCCTGGCACCCTCCCCAGTGCCAGCACTCACTGGGCTCCTCTGCGAGCACATCCATAGTTCCAGATTTGGGACAGGGAAGCTGGATGATATCCCTGAGGTGAAAGAGTCTTTTCAAAAGTAGAGGTAATTTCCCAGAGTGAGGATAGGCCCTCGGATCCCCACTCTCCTGCTGTACCCAGGGTTGGGGATCTTGATCACCTCCCACCTCAGGGCTCAGTTCTTGTGGAGCCAACCTGAGGAGAAATGGCTGTGCTAAGCTGGCACCAAGCTTTGTCACAAGTCAGATCCTTAAGACAATCATCACTGGGAATTCTCCCATCAGATCACAGAAACCAGTTGCCCATGCCATGGAAATGAGATGGGAGCTGCTTTACCTTCCATACCTCACCTGACAGGTGGCAAACCCTCCTTTTTCTTCCACTTGTCCCCACCAGGGACATGTCTCAGGGCCCTGAGAGAATCCCTGTGCAGTGATGTGGGCAGAAACTCCAGTTCAAACATGGAGACAAAGAGACAGCACAAGCCCGATTCACAGCACCACCAGTCCTTGCCACTTGCCATGATCACCTGCTCACAGGCAAGTTTTGGCACTGGGTTGTAAAGACCAATGTTTTTCCAAGTCATCTAAGCCCCATCCCCAAGGACTATCCTGGGAGTGGGCATCACCCAGTAAAGGATTCCTGACCTTGGTGGGGAAGCAGGTGTCACCTAAAATCCTTCCTCTGTTCCCTCAGGAATGACGACCAGGAACTCCTCAAAGGAATGACAACCAACCAGACACAAATGAGAGTTACTGCTCTTCCAGTCATGGAAACCATGGGCACCCCACGGGACACCATCATGTCCAGCTACTGGAGAACCTGCAGCAGAAAAACGTGGAGATGCTAGGACATCCTCAACATGGCCAAAGTGCCCAAGAGTGGAGGAGTTCAGAGCAGCAAGAACTGGTGGAACTGTGCTCCCACCTGGCTGGAGCTGCTGACCATGTCCTGGTGGGCCACTTGCCAGCAGTGCTGGGGAACTGCTGTGGGTCTGCCCAAGCACAGGAGAAAACAAAAAGCTCACCCTTTCCTGGATCCCAGTCATCCTACCCAGGATGTCAGAGTAGAATCTCATTTGCTGTCTCCACCTTTGCTGAGGAGCACCCCTGCATCCCTCAGGACAAAGGCCATCCTCTCCCCCTTCCCCAGGAAGTGGGACAGGAGGGATTTAGTGCTGAGGATGCAGCTCTCCACTTTTCTCCAAAACACAAAGGCCTCCAGAGCCACTTTGGCATAACTCAGAGGCTTTGGCTGCTTAATTCCTGCAAAAGCACGGGAGAGGCTCAGAGGCACTCCCCCAGGGCCTGGCCACAGGCACTCCCCAGGAGCTGTGCATTACAGCCATCACCAAGCAGCCGGTACCTTCCCCGGTTCGAACCTGTGCTGCAGGGGGGGCTGTTTACTTTTAGAAAAGGGCTGCAATACCCCCCTTCACCTGGGTCTGTGTGGACCACACTGAAGAAGCTGAGGGTGTGAATTTGGATCCCCTGGAGCAGAAGGGAAGAGCCTGAGGAGGCGAGCCAAACCTGCCCAAAAAGGTCTGGTAGTGGAGTCTCCAGCAGCCAGACTGTTGGGGCTGACATGTGACAGAGGGGACACCAGCACAGAGAGGGCAGGACAAGCGCTCCCACCACAGTAGCTTAGAACCTACCTTACTTATAAGTGCATGAGGAAATAGGTCTTGGGGGTCATAAAAGAAGGCTTTGAGCCCTCCAAATTGCAGCCCAAATCCCCAAAGAGGCCTTTGGTCCCCGACAGGGCAGCTGTGGAAGCTAAAAAGAAAGGTATGAGGCCAAAAAGGAGCATTTGAACTCTCGAAAGAAAGATTTTGACTCTACAAATGAGGCTTTGGACCTTCCAGATTGGACCTTGGGCCTTAAAAATTATCATCTGGACCCTCTCAATGAGGCTTTGAACTTTAGAACATAAATCGAGAAACTTATAAGTCTGGTTTTATAGTCCAAAATTGTGGGTTTGGACCTTTAATTGACCATGGTCTCCCAAATGTGTGCTTTGGGCATTTAAAAGGGATGCTACTCTCCCTACTTTGAGGCTGCATCATATAAATAAGAGTTTGTGCTCGGAAAACTTGAGGTTTGATCTACAAAATAATAAAAAATAATCCCTTGGGATTGAAACTGAGCTTTAGGCTTGAACTTTTTTATTTTGAGTTTTTACTTTTCCTTTTTTTGTAATAGTATTGCAGTAGATGGTTGATATTCCAGGGAACATGCAGGGGTGGGTATTGCAATACAGGGAGTGCTTGGAGAAAGGGCTTATCATGGAGGGGGGAGGGAATTGCAGATGTTTTGACATGGAAGAAGGAGATGCCAATGTGTGGGGCTGGGCAGGCTCCCAGGAGTGAAGGTTTACCTTGATGAGCTTACACAAGCTATGGGGTGATGCCACCATTCCTGGGGGCTGGGAGAGGACCCAGGTGGGGGTTCTCTGATGGTGGACACGGAGATGAGCAGTGGGGGCGGCCTGACAGGCCTGGTGGAGTGGGGGGGGGAAGGGTGTGCAAGGCACAGCATGTACGAGCAATGGATGGGGTACAGGTATGCTATGGATGTGTGTGCAGTGCAGGGGATGTGTGTGCAGGGCACAGGGTGTGTGTGCAGGGCACAGAGTGTGTGTGTGCAGGGCACAGAGGATGTGTGTGCAGGGCACAGGGGTGTGTGTGCAGGGCACAGGGGGTGTGTGTGCAGGGCACAGGGGGTGTGTGCAGGGCACAGAGGATGTGTGTGCAGGGCACAGGGTGTGTGTGCAGGGCACAGGGGGTGTGTGTGCAATGATAGGACGTGCAATAGAGCGGTGCCCTGGCTGCCCCGTTCCCAACAGCCCCAACCTCCCACCCCAGCCCCCCATTGCTGAGATCCTCCCACCTCAGCAGTGCCAGTGCCAGGATCAGCACAGCATGGCACGTGCTGGCTGCCTCTCGCACAAAAGCATCAGCTCAGCCACAGGCCAGAACTGTGATTTCACAGCTTTGGTGACAGTGTCA